ACATTTGTCAATTTACTGTTGAACGTTACCTTGATACTTTTTCGAAATTTGACTACTGCTATAATACACGATTATACTCTTCACAAGTGCCTTCTGATTTTACGTTGTAAGCATCGAGTAGCCACAACGTCTGCGCACATTGATAAACGTGAAGAAGTACTAGGAAATACGTGTACGCTCATTTAGTCAAATAGAACACGCAACAAATTGGTGAGCCCAACGATAACTTGCTGACCTCGGCGACAAATTGCTGACTCCGACGACGACTTTTGACCTAGACGTGTCGTTACACTTACTGGATTATTAAAACTCTAACTTTCGCGGATTTATATATTTATTAAACAATTCGAACTCATTTTTGTGTTTGCTCATAGCACAACCTGCAGTAATTTGTGGTAAGCACCTGCATTGTATGCTTTTTTATTTTGCCGTACTCTTATTGAGCACAAATTTTGCCATTTTCCTACTCTTAAACCATTTTGTTTACGAATTGTAACATGTCTTCCAATACCTCTGATAACTTAGAGCTGGAATCTGTTAGTACTATCTCTCTTACTGTACCAGTTTTTAAGCCCAGAGACCCTCATCTTTGGTTTGCACGACTGGAACATTATATGGCTAGCAATAAGCTCACGTCACAGACAGCTAAATTTGGCATTTTGAGTACAGTACTACCAGACGAAGTCGCCGAGCAGGTACGGCAATACATCGTCCAACCCAGCACAGGAGCGCCTTACGACAAGTTGAAGGAAGAGGTACTGCGATGCACTTCGCTTTCAGATAGGCAAGCACTCGATCGCCTGTTAAGCAATGTTGAGTTAGGTGATAAAACCCCATCTCAACTCATGAGGCATATGCAAAGCCTAGTTGCAGGAAGAGAAATCGATAAACGTCTCTTTTACCAAATATGGCTACGACGACTTCCCGCAAACATCCAGCAGGTTCTTGCTTTCGGAGACGACGACATTGACATAGAAAGGCTCACCGAAATCGCGGATCGCATGTACGAGAGGTCAACACCTCAATCTGTCGCTTCCACTAGCAGAATACCAAACAATCATGATAGAATACAGACTCTAGAACACAAAGTCGACACCTTACTGAGTCAGTTAGCAAAACTGACCACACGCACACAACCAAGCCGTTCTAGAAGCTCGTCCCGTCGACGTCTTTCTCGATCCCCTAGCACGTCACGACATCGCGATAATATTTGCTGGTATCACCGTAGTTATGGAAGCAATGCACGACGGTGCCGTTCACCTTGCGACTTTCAGACTAAACCAAAAGATATATCGTCATGTGTAAAAACTTCTGTTGGCAACCTACGATCTAACAGTCGTTTGTTTTATGTAACAGATAAAAATACCGGTACTACATTCTTAGTTGACACAGGAGCAGAGGTGAGTGTTCTCCCTCCGTCTACACAGGAACGTCAACATTCTGACCGAGCAATTACGCTCCAAGCTGTTAATCAGTCCAGTATTGTTACATATGGAACTAAACGAATGACTTTAGATTTTGGTTTAAAGAATACCTACACTTGGTCTTTCATCATTGCAGACGTCCCATCCCCAATCCTCGGTATCGATTTTCTACAGCAACACAAACTGCTAGTTGATCCGATGAGCCCCAAGCTTATAGACTCGCTCAATAAAACGTACATTGCTGGTACGATTAGCCGTGCATCATCGTTGAACTTGATGGTCACACGCACACCAGCATCTCCATATACCAATTTGGTAAATCAGTTTCCTGACCTTTTACAACCTTCTTTTCGAGGAACAGAACCGAAGCATCATGTGGTTCATCATATTAAAACCACTGGACCGCCAGTTTTTGCACGTCCACGACGCCTTGACCCACATCGACCTAAAATCGCCAAAACACAGTTCGATAAAATGCTAGAGCTTGGTATTATTCGACTGTCCAACAGCTCTTGGTCTTCACCGCTTCACATGGTACCCAAAAAGTCTTCTGGTGAAATACGGCCGTGTGGTGATTATCGAGCTTTAAACAAGCAAACGGTACCTGATCGATACCCAATACCACATATTCACGATTTCGCTAGCAACTTACCAGATGTTAAAGTTTTCTCTAAAATCGATCTCGTCCGAGCGTATCATCATATCCCCATCCACCCGGATGACGTTCCGAAAACTGCCATTACCACACCATTCGGTTTATATGAATTCGTACGCATGCCATTCGGACTTATGAACGCCACTCAGATATTTCAACGCCTAATCGACCAAGTACTCCGTGGTCTCCCTTTCGTCTACGCATACATCGATGACTTACTAATTGCAAGTGCAGACGAAGCTGAGCATTTGAAACATGTGAAGACAGTGTTTGAAAGACTGAACCAATACGGAATGACTATCAACTTAGACAAATGCGAATTTGGTAAGACCTCACTGAAATTTCTCGGTCATTTAATCGATAGCCAAGGAATCAGACCAGTCCCTGATGACGTACAAGCTATCAAAGATTATCCATTACCAGATTCTTTTAAGAAATTACGACGATTTTTGGGTCTCGTTAATTTTTACCGGCGTTTTATTCCGAACTGTGCTGAAGCTTTACAACCATTAACCGATTGCTTACGTGGACACAGTCGTTCATTCCATTTGCCCGCAGAAGCTGTTAAAGCTTTTGAAACTGTTAAACAATTGTTAAATGACGAGACGCTTTTAGTCAGACGCCAAAATGACGCCCCCCTGTCTCTCATGACGGACGCTTCAGACGTTGCCGTTGGGGCGGTTTTACAACAACAAGTACACGGCGAATGGCAACCTCTTGCATTCTTTTCGAAACGACTGAATCCTACTCAATGCCGCTATAGCACTTTTGGTAGAGAGTTATTGGCTGTTTATTTAGCAATCAAGCACTTCCGACATATGCTGGAAGGTACAGCTTTTACTGTCTTTACAGACCATAAAGCTCTAACGAAAGCCTTATCAGCAAAACAGGATAACTACTCTCCGCGTGAACTACGACACCTCGAGTTTATATCTCAGTTCACCTCCGATCTGCGACATGTGAAGGGTAAAAGCAATGAAGTGGCAGATGCTTTATCACGTGTGCACATTGACAACATTGTATGCCCAGACATCGACTACGAACGTCTCTCAAACCTACAACGAGATGATGCCGAACTAAAAAAGATCATGTCTTCTAAAACAACATCTTTAAAGCTAGACGCAATTCCTTTTGGCACGACAAAAATAATCTGCGACACCTCTACAAGTAAATATCGACCCTTCGTTCCAGCAGCTATGAAACATACAGTATTCGAGAAGTTACATAACTTGTCTCATCCCGGTGTCAGCGCTACTATCAAACTAATAAAAGAAAGATTTATATGGCCGAACATTAACAGCGATGTTAAGAAGTGGACACGAAATTGCTTGTCTTGTCAAAGAGTCAAAATCAACCGTCACACTAATGCACCACTTGGTCGCTTTCCTTATCCCGACTCTAGATTTGAATATATACATGTAGACATAGTTGGTCCACTACCTCCTTCCAATGGTTGCAACTACATTCTAACTTGCATCGATAGATTCACTCGTTGGCCTGTAGCAGTTCCAATAGCCGACGTCTCAGCTGAAACGGTAGCTAAAGCTTTGCTCGAAAACTGGATAGCTAATTTTGGTGTCCCATCCATTATCACTACGGACAGAGGTGCTCAGTTTGAAAGCCGACTTTTTCAACAGCTAACTGAATTACTGGGCATTAAACGAATACGAACAACCGCCTACCATCCCAGTTCCAACGGTATGGTTGAACGGCTTCATCGACAACTCAAAGCTTCGCTCGCTGCTTCTTTGACTCAAAACGACTGGTCAACCAAACTCCCACTGGTACTACTTGGTATACGATCTGCTCTAAAGAAAGATATTGACTGCTGTGTTTCCGAACTAGTCTATGGAACAACATTACGACTACCAGGAGAATTTTTCACCCCAGGTAACCAAGTTCCACAAGATATGACTGGTTATGTGCACCAGCTAAAACAACACATGAACGAACTTAAGATATCACTTCCACGCCAGCAGGAACGAACGTCATACATCCCGCAACAACTGACAGATTGCACTCACGTCTTTGTCAGGAGAGGGGGTGTACAACGACCACTTCAACCCGCTTACGATGGCCCATTCAAAGTTCTAAATAGAAATGATAAAGTTATCACGATAGAACGACTGAATAAAGCAGAAGCCATCAGTGTCGACAGAGTCAAACCAGCGGTCATCGACGATTTTGAAGCCAACGATAAAGACCAGCTGAACGACGTGCCAACAGCTACATCCACGCAAGCTTCAACGTCGCCAGAGAAACCTATGAAAACTACACGCTGTGGTAGGAGAGTTCATTGGCCTAAACGTTATGTGCAAATCATCAAAATATAACCTACTACGAATTTTCATTTTTATTATCTTTATTCGTAATTGTCATTTAACTACTCATTTAACTGATTCATATTTTCATACGTAAATCACGTCACTACTATTTGAACATCGATATTTCCTGTATTATTACATTTAATCATATAGCGCTTAATATTCACCTATCGTTTCCGTATACAGACTACAGATCCCCGGCCGATTGTATCATTCCTTATATATTCTACCACGATCATCAATCCTATTTTTTCTTTTATTATCGCATTTATTATCGGCCTTATTGACCGCATTAAACTGCTCATTTTTCAGCTTAATAAATCGCCTTCTGTGTACTGTCGCTGTTGCGTATAACGCTGATGCATGTTATTGTCGAACACTTAAATGTATTTTTTTTATATTTCAGTGTTCTGGTGGGGGAATTATGTAGTACCCCTGTACCAACTATAAACATACGTTTTTAATTTAATTTGCATACTCATATTATATGTTTACACATACCGATTTTATATGTACTTCGTAAACATTTGTCAATTTACTGTTGAACGTTACCTTGATACAATTTCGAAATTTGACTACTGCTATAATACGAAAGACTGTTGCGTGTTCTATCTGACTAAATGAGCGTACACGTATTTCCTAGTACTTCTTCACGTTTATCAATGTGCGCAGACGTTGTGGCTACTCGACGCCCACAACGTAAAATCAGAAGGCACTTGTGAAGAGTATAATCGTGTATTATAGCCGTAGTCAAATTTCGAAAAAGTATCAAGGTAACGTTCAACAGTAAATTGGCAAATGTTTACGAAGTACATATAAAATCGGTATGTGTAAACATATAATATGAGTATGCAAATTAGATTAAAATCGTATGTTTATAGTTGGTACAGGGGTACTACATAATTCCCCCACCAGAACACTGAAATATAAAAAAAATACATTTAAGTGTTCGACAATAACATGCATCAGCGTTATACGCAACAGCGACAGTACACAGAAGGCGATTTATTAAGCTGAAAAATGAGCAGTTTAATGCGGTCAATAAGGCCGATAATAAATGCGATAATAAAAGAAAAAATAGGATTGATGATCGTGGTAGAATATATAAGGAATGATACAATCGGCCGGGGATCTGTAGTCTGTATACGGAAACGATAGGTGAATATTAAGCGCTATATGATTAAATGTAATAATACAGGAAATATCGATGTTCAAATAGTAGTGACGTGATTTACGTATGAAAATATGAATCAGTTAAATGAGTAGTTAAATGACAATTACGAATAAAGATAATAAAAATGAAAATTCGTAGTAAGTTATATTTTGATGATTTGCACATAACGTTTAGGCCAATGAACTCTCCTACCACAGCGTGTAGTTTTCATAGGTTTCTCTGGCGACGTTGAAGCTTGCGTGGATGTAGCTGTTGGCACGTCGTTCAGCTGGTCTTTATCGTTGGCTTCAAAATCGTCGATGAACGCTGGTTTGACTCTGTCGACACTGATGGCTTCTGCTTTATTCAGTCGTTCTATCGTGATAACTTTATCGTTTCTATTTAGAACTTTGAATGGGCCATCATAAGCGGGTTGAAGTGGTCGTTGTACACCCCCTCTCCTGACAAAGACGTGAGTGCAATCTGTCAGTTGTTGCGGGATGTATGACGTTCGTTCCTGCTGGCGTGGAAGTGATATCTTAAGTTCGTTCATGTGTTGTTTTAGCTGGTGCACATAACCAGTCATATCTTGTGGAACTTGGTTACCTGGGGTGAAAAATTCTCCTGGTAGTCGTAATGTTGTTCCATAGACTAGTTCGGAGACACAGCAGTCAATATCTTTCTTTAGAGCAGATCGTATACCAAGTAGTACCAGTGGGAGTTTGGTTGACCAGTCGTTTTGAGTCAAAGAAGCAGCGAGCGAAGCTTTGAGTTGTCGATGAAGCCGTTCAACCATACCGTTGGAACTGGGATGGTAGGCGGTTGTTCGTATTCGTTTAATGCCCAGTAATTCAGTTAGCTGTTGAAAAAGTCGGCTTTCAAACTGAGCACCTCTGTCCGTAGTGATAATGGATGGGACACCAAAATTAGCTATCCAGTTTTCGAGCAAAGCTTTAGCTACCGTTTCAGCTGAGACGTCGGCTATTGGAACTGCTACAGGCCAACGAGTGAATCTATCGATGCAAGTTAGAATGTAGTTGCAACCATTGGAAGGAGGTAGTGGACCAACTATGTCTACATGTATATATTCAAATCTAGAGTCGGGATAAGGAAAGCGACCAAGTGGTGCATTAGTGTGACGGTTGATTTTGACTCTTTGACAAGACAAGCAATTTCGTGTCCACTTCTTAACATCGCTGTTAATGTTCGGCCATATAAATCTTTCTTTTATTAGTTTGATAGTAGCGCTGACACCGGGATGAGACAAGTTATGTAACTTCTCGAATACTGTATGTTTCATAGCTGCTGGAACGAAGGGTCGATATTTACCTGTGGAGGTGTCGCAGATTATTTTTGTCGTGCCAAAAGGAATTGCGTCTAGCTTTAAAGATGTTGTTCTAGAAGACATGATCTTTTTTAGTTCGGCATCATCTCGTTGTAGGTTTGAGAGACGTTCGTAGTCGATGTCTGGGCATACAATGTTGTCAATGTGCACACGTGATAAAGCATCTGCCACTTCATTGCTTTTACCCTTCACATGTCGCAGATCGGAGGTGAACTGAGATATAAACTCGAGGTGTCGTAGTTCACGCGGAGAGTAGTTATCCTGTTTTGCTGATAAGGCTTTCGTTAGAGCTTTATGGTCTGTAAAGACAGTAAAAGCTGTACCTTCCAGCATATGTCGGAAGTGCTTGATTGCTAAATAAACAGCCAATAACTCTCTACCAAAAGTGCTATAGCGGCATTGAGTAGGATTCAGTCGTTTCGAAAAGAATGCAAGAGGTTGCCATTCGCCGTGTACTTGTTGTTGTAAAACCGCCCCAATGGCAACGTCTGAAGCGTCCGTCATGAGAGACAGGGGGGCGTCATTTTGGCGTCTGACTAAAAGCGTCTCGTCATTTAACAATTGTTTAACAGTTTCAAAAGCTTTAACAGCTTCTGCGGGCAAATGGAATGAACGACTGTGTCCACGTAAGCAATCGGTTAATGGTTGTAAAGCTTCAGCACAGTTCGGAATAAAACGCCGGTAAAAATTAACGAGACCCAAAAATCGTCGTAATTTCTTAAAAGAATCTGGTAATGGATAATCTTTGATAGCTTGTACGTCATCAGGGACTGGTCTGATTCCTTGGCTATCGATTAAATGACCGAGAAATTTCAGTGAGGTCTTACCAAATTCGCATTTGTCTAAGTTGATAGTCATTCCGTATTGGTTCAGTCTTTCAAACACTGTCTTCACATGTTTCAAATGCTCAGCTTCGTCTGCACTTGCAATTAGTAAGTCATCGATGTATGCGTAGACGAAAGGGAGACCACGGAGTACTTGGTCGATTAGGCGTTGAAATATCTGAGTGGCGTTCATAAGTCCGAATGGCATGCGTACGAATTCATATAAACCGAATGGTGTGGTAATGGCAGTTTTCGGAACGTCATCCGGGTGGATGGGGATATGATGATACGCTCGGACGAGATCGATTTTAGAGAAAACTTTAACATTTGGGAAGTTGCTAGCAAAATCGTGGATGTGTGGTATTGGGTATCTATCAGGTACAGTTTGCTTGTTTAAAGCTCGATAATCACCACACGGCCGTATTTCACCAGAAGACATTTTGGGTACCATGTGAAGCGGTGAAGACCAAGAGCTGTTGGACGGTCGAATAATACCAAGCTCTAGCATTTTATCGAACTCTGTTTTTGCGATTTTAAGTCGATGTGGGTCAAGGCGTCGTGGACGTGCAAAAACTGGCGGTCCAGTGGTTTTAATATGATGAACCACATGATGCTTCGGTTCTGTTCCTCGAAAAGAAGGTTGTAAAAGGTCAGGAAACTGATTTACCAAATTGGTATATGGAGATGCTGGTGTGCGTGTGACCATCAAGTTCAACGATGATGCACGGCTAATCGTACCAGCAATGTACGTTTTATTGAGCGAGTCTATAAGCTTGGGGCTCATCGGATCAACTAGCAGTTTGTGTTGCTGTAGAAAATCGATACCGAGGATTGGGGATGGGACGTCTGCAATGATGAAAGACCAAGTGTAGGTATTCTTTAAACCAAAATCTAAAGTCATTCGTTTAGTTCCATATGTAACAATACTGGACTGATTAACAGCTTGGAGCGTAATTGCTCGGTCAGAATGTTGACGTTCCTGTGTAGACGGAGGGAGAACACTCACCTCTGCTCCTGTGTCAACTAAGAATGTAGTACCGGTATTTTTATCTGTTACATAAAACAAACGACTGTTAGATCGTAGGTTGCCAACAGAATTTTTTACACATGACGATATATCTTTTGGTTTAGTCTGAAAATTGCAAGGTGAACGGCACCGTCGTGCATTGCTTCCATAACTACGGTGATACCAGCAAATATTATCGCGATGTCGTGACGTGCTAGGGGATCGAGAAAGACGTCGACGGGACGAGCTTCTAGAACGGCTTGGTTGTGTGCGTGTGGTCAGTTTTGCTAACTGACTCAGTAAGGTGTCGACTTTGTGTTCTAGAGTCTGTATTCTATCATGAGTGTCTGGTATTCTGCTAGTGGAAGCGACAGATTGAGGTGTTGACCTCTCGTACATGCGATCCGCGATTTCGGTGAGCCTTTCTATGTCAATGTCGTCGTCTCCGAAAGCAAGAACCTGCTGGATGTTTGCGGGAAGTCGTCGCAGCCAGATTTGATAAAAGAGACGTTTGTTGATTTCTCTTCCGGCAACTAGGCTTTGCATATGCCTCATGAGTTGAGATGGGGTTTTATCCCCTAACTCAACATTGCTTAACAGGCGATCGAGTGCTTGCCTATCTGAAAGCGAAGTGCATCGCAGTACCTCTTCCTTCAACTTGTCGTAAGGTGCTTCCGTGCTGGGTTGAACGATGTATTGCCGTACCTGCTCGGCGACTTCGTCTGGTAGTACTGTACTCAAAATGCCAAATTTAGCTGTCTGTGACGTGAGCTTATTGCTAGCCATATAATGTTCCAGTCGTGCAAACCAAAGATGAGGGTCTCTGGGCTTAAAAACTGGTACAGTAAGAGAGATAGTACTAACAGATTCCAGCTCTAAGTTATCAGAGGTATTGGAAGACATGTTACAATTCGTAAACAAAATGGTTTAAGAGTAGGAAAATGGCAAAATTTGTGCTCAATAAGAGTACGGCAAAATAAAAAAGCATACAATGCAGGTGCTTACCACAAATTACTGCAGGTTGTGCTATGAGCAAACACAAAAATGAGTTCGAATTGTTTAATAAATATATAAATCCGCGAAAGTTAGAGTTTTAATAATCCAGTAAGTGTAACAACGCGTCTAGGTCAAAAGTCGTCGTCGGAGTCAGCAATTTGTCGTCGGGATCAGCAAGTTATCGTTGGGCTCACCAATTTATTGCGTGTTCTATTTGACTAAATGAGCGTACACGTATTTCCTAGTACTTCTTCACGTTTATCAATGTGCGCAGACGTTGTGGCTACTCGACGCCCACAACGTAAAATCAGAAGGCACTTGTGAAGAGTATAATCGTGTATTATAGCCGTAGTCAAATTTCGAAAAAGTATCAAGGTAACGTTCAACAGTAAATTGGCAAATGTTTACGAAGTACATATAAAATCGGTATGTGTAAACATATAATATGAGTATGCAAATTAGATTAAAATCGTATGTTTATAGTTGGTACAGGGTACTACAAGACGCTATAGTCAGTTTCAAGGTCATGATGGGTTCCTGCGTCTACTGGTTATATGTTTTCGTGAATTCGTTTTCCATTGAATTTTAAAGGTTTTTTTGAACGTTTTGCTTGGTTTGGAGTATGTAGGTCAGTTTTCTGTCACTGTATGCTACTAGTAAGGTTGTTTTTAGGCAGAAGTTCCCACTTATTATGTTGGTAGTTAAGGATTATGGTAAACCTGCAATCATTGAGCTAATTCACGTACACTATGATAGTATAGTAACACTATGTAATAAATGAACTCCCTAACTGGTTTTCCATTGTTTGATAATGTGATTGAACCAGAACTGTGGGATTGTTTTATCCGCATGACCGGCTGTAATTCATCACCTTGTTCTTCTTAATAAGCATTATCCAAGAATAGGTTAGAATAAGTTTAGAATTGTTGTAAGCCTGGGGTGATTACGGTATAGGCAATAAATCGTATTAGTCGCCGTTACTCGCGATATGCTATGAACTAGAAATCTTCGGCTGATAAAACGCATTACATAAGGCACAGATCGGTGTAATTTGTAACTGACTTGCCAAGCGCTCTCATCAGGAAACAATCAACCAAAGTATGCTTTAAACTGTCGCTCTCAGGCATTTGAAGGGAAAGGAAGTGTAACACAGTTTAGACATAGATGTTTATATTGTGAATACAAATGGAAACAATAAGGTAATGCAAATATTTTCACAAAAATGATCGATTAACAGGGGCACGTCGTAATCTCAAAGTTGTTTGCGGTTCATTTGCTAGCAAAGTGTCCAACCTTCTTGTGAACTCTGCTACTTCCCGCAGTGCAGCATCCGGATTTCTTTGGTTCAGAATGTTGAGACGACGTCTTAAACGTTCATAAGCATAGGACCGGATGGATCCTTTTTACTGGAATCAACCCGATACCATGTGTTGGATTCCTTTCAAAGAAATAATGAACAACTTAGTTAGTACCTTCATAAATGCATCTAAAGCTTCCTTAAATTGCATCCATGTATAAAATACACAGCAAAGCATTATCCTTTGGAATGTAGCTGTTACATCACACAATATAGATGACACATTCCGTGAAGTAGACGCAGTAGGAGTACTTTGCAACATCATTTAATGGTTCTAACAATTCCTAACGTGCACAACACAATGATTTCAAGTAAATGAACAGTTGTATTATTGCGTGTTCTATTTGACTAAATGAGCGTACACGTATTTCCTAGTACTTCTTCACGTTTATCAATGTGCGCAGACGTTGTGGCTACTCGACGCCCACAACGTAAAATCAGAAGGCACTTGTGAAGAGTATAATCGTGTATTATAGCCGTAGTCAAATTTCGAAAAAGTATCAAGGTAACGTTCAACAGTAAATTGGCAAATGTTTACGAAGTACATATAAAATCGATATGTGTAAACATATAATATGAGTATGCAAATTAAATTAAAAACGTATGTTTATAGTTGGTACAGGGGTACTACATAATTCCCCCACCAGAACACTGAAATATAAAAAAAATACATTTAAGTGTTCGACAATAAAATGCGTCAGCGTAATACGTAGCAGCGATAGTACATAGAAAGCGATTTATTAAGCTGAAAAAATGAGCAATTTAATGCGGTCAATAAGGCCGATAATAATTGCGATAATAAAACAAAAAATAGGTTTGATGATCGTGGTAGAATATATAAGGAATGATACAATCGGCCGGGGATCTGTAGTCTGTATACGGAAACGATACGTGAATATTAAGCGCTATATGATTAAATGTAATAATACAGGGAATATCGATGTTAAAATAGTAGTGACGTGATTGAGGTATGAAGATATTAATCAGTTAAATGTGTAGTCAAATGACAATTACGAATAAAGATAATAAAAATGAAAATTCGTAATAAGTTATATTTTGATGATTTGCACATAACGTTTAGGCCAATGAACTCTCCTACCAGAGCGTGTAGTTTTCATAGGTTTCTCTGGCGACGTTGAAGCTTGCGTGGATGTAGATGTTGGCACGTCGTTCAGCTGATCTTCATCGTTGTCTTCGAAATCGTCGATGAACGCTGGTTTGACTCTGTCGACACTGATGGCTTCTGCTTTATTCAGTCGTTCTATCGTGATAACTTTATCGTTTCTATTTAGAACTTTGAATGGGCCATCATAAGCGGGTTGAAGTGGTCGTTGTACACCCTCTCTCCTGACGAAGACGTGAGTGCAATCTGTCAGTTGTGGTGGGATGTATGACGTTCGTTCCTGCTGGCGTGGAAGTGATATCTTCAGCTCGTTCATGTGTTGTTTTAGCTGCTGCACATAACCAGTCATATCTTGTGGAACTTGGTTACCTGGGGTGAAAAATTCTCCTGGTAGTCGTAATGTTGTTCCATAGACTAGTTCGGAAACACAGCAGCCAATATCTTTCTTTAGAGCAGATCGTATACCAAGCAGTACCAGTGGGAGTTTGGTTGACCAGTCGTTTTGAGTCAAAGAAGCAGCTAGCGAAGCTTTGAGTTGTCGATGAAGTCGTTCAACCATGCCGTTGGAACTAGGATGGTAGGCGGTTGTTCGTATTCGTTTGATGCCCAGTAATTCAGTTAGCTGTTGAAAAAGTCGACTTTCAAACTGAGCACCTCTGTCCGTAGTGATAATGGATGGGACACCAAAATTAGCTATCCAGTTTTCGAGCAAAGCTTTAGCTACCGTTTCAGCTGAGACGTCGGCTATTGGAACTGCTACAGGCCAACGAGTGAATCTATCGATGCAAGTTAGAATGTAGTTGCAACCATTGGAAGGAGGTAGTGGACCAACTATGTCTACATGTATATGTTCAAATCTAGAGTCAGGGTTAGGAAAGCGACCAAGTGGTGCATTGGTGTGACGGTTGATTTTGACTCTTTGACAAGACAAGCAATTTCGTGTCCACTTCTTAACATCACTATTAATGTTCGGCCATATAAATCTTTCTTTTATTAGTTTGATAGTTGCACTGACACCTGGATGAGACAAGTTATGTAACTTCTCGAATACTGTATGTCTCATAGCTGCTGGAACGAAGGGTCGATATTTACCCGTAGAGGTGTCGCAGATTATTTTTGTCGTGCCAAAAGGAATTGCGTCTAGCTTTAAAGATGTTGTTTTAGAAGACATGATCTTTTTTAGTTCGGCATCATCTCGTTGTAGGTTTGAGAGACGTTCGTAGTCGATGTCTGGGCATACAATGTTGTCAATGTGCACACGTGATAAAGCGTCTGCCACTTCATTGTTTTTGCCCTTTACGTGTCGCAGATCGGAGGTGAACTGAGATATAAACTCGAGATGTCGTAGTTCACGCGGAGAGTAGTTATCCTGTTTTGCTGATAAGGCTTTCGTTAGAGCTTTATGGTCTGTAAAGACAGTAAAAGTTGTACCTTCCAGCATATGTCGGAAGTGCTTGATTGCTAAATAAACAGCCAATAACTCTCTACCAAAAGTGCTATAGCGGCATTGAGTAGGATTCAGTCGTTTCGAAAAGAATGCTAGGGGTTGCCATTCGCCGTGTACTTGCTGTTGTAAAACCGCCCCGATGGCAACGTCTGAAGCGTCTGTCATGAGAGACAGGGGGGCGTCATTTTGGCGTCTGACTAGAAGTGTCTTGTCATTTAACAATTGTTTGACATTTTCGAATGCTTTAACAGCTTCTGCGGGCAAATGGAATGAACGACTATGTCCACGTAAGCAATCGGTTAATGGTTGTAAAGCTTTGGCACATTTCGGTATAAAACGCCGGTAAAAATTAACGAGACCCAAAAATCGTCGTAATTTTTTAAAAGAATCTGGTAGTGGATAATCTTTGATAGCTTGTACGTCATCAGGGACTGGTCTGATTCCTTGGCTATCGATTAAATGACCGAGAAATTTCAGTGAGGTCTTACCAAATTCGCATTTGTCTAAGTTGATAGTCATTCCGTATTGGTTCAGTCTTTCAAACACTGTCTTCACATGTTTCAAATGCTCGGCTTCGTCTGTACTTGCGATTAGTAAGTCATCGATGTATGCGTAGACGAAAGGGAGACCACGGAGTACTTGGTCAATTAGGCGTTGGAATGTCTGAGCTGCGTTCATCAGTCCGAAGGGCATGCGTACGAATTCGTATAAACCGAATGGTGTGGTAATGGCAGTTTTCGGAACGTCATCCGGGTGGATGGGGATATGATGATACGCTCGGACCAGATCGATTTTAGAGAAAACTTTAACATTTGGTAAGTTGCTAGCAAAATCGTGGATGTGTGGTATTGGGTATCTATCAGGTACCGTTTGCTTGTTTAAAGCTCGATAATCACCACACGGCCGTATTTCACCAGAAGACTTTTTGAGTACCATGTGAAGCGGTGAAGACCAAGAGCTGTTGGACGGTCGAATAATACCAAGCTCTAGCATTTTATCGAACTCTGTTTTGGCAATTTTAAGTCGATATGGGTCAAGGCGTCGTGGACGTGCAAAAACTGGCGGTCCAGTGGTTTTAATATGATGAACCACATGATGCTTCGGTTCTGTTCCTCGAAAAGAAGGTTTTAAAAGGTCAGGAAACTGATTTACCAAATTGGTATACGGAGATGCTGGTGTGCGTGTGACCATCATGTTCAGTGATGATGCACGGCTAATCGTACCAGCAATGTACGTTTTATTGAGCGAATCTATTAGCTTGGGGCTTATCGGATCAACTAACAGTTTGTGTTGCTGCAGAAAATCAATACCGAGGATTGGGGATGGGACGTCTGCAATGATGAAAGACCAAGTGTAGGTATTCTTTAAACCAAAATCTAAAGTCATTCGTTTACTTCCATATGTAACAATACTGGACTGATTAACAGCTTGGAGAGTAACTGCTGGGTCAGGATGTTGACGTTCCTGTGTAGACGGAGGGAGAACACTCACCTCTGCTCCTGTGTCAACTAAGAATGTAGTACCGGTATTTTTATCTGTTACATAAAACAAACGACTGTTAGATCGTAGGTTGCCAACAGTATTTTTTACACATGACGATATATCTTTTGGTTTAGTCTGAAAGTTACAAGGTGAACGGCACCGTCGTGCACTGCTTCCATATTTACGGTGATACCAGCAAATATTATCGCGATGTAGTGACGTGCTAGGGGATCGAGAAAGACGTCGACGAGACGAGCTTCTAGAACGGCTTGGTTGTGTGCGTGTAGTCAGTTTTGCTAACTGACTCAGTAAGGTGTCGACTTTGTGTTCTAGAGTCTGTATTCTATCGTGAGTGTCTGGTATTCTGCTAGTGGAAGCGACAGATTGAGGTGTTGACCTCTCGTACATGCGATCCGCGATTTCGGTGAGCCTTTCTATGTCAATGTCGTCATCTCCGAAAGCAAGAACCTGCTGGATGTTTGCGGGAAGTCGTCGCAGCCAGATTTGATAAAAGAGACGTTTGTCGATTTCTCTTCCGGCAACTAGGCTTTGCATATGCCTCATGAGTTGCGATGGGGTTTTATCCCCTAACTCAACATTGCTTAACAGGCGATCGAGTGCTTGCCTATCTGAAAGCGAAGTGCATCGCAGTACCTCTTCCTTCAACTTGTCGTAAGGTGCTTCCGTGCTGGGTTGGACGATGTATTGCCGTACCTGCTCGGCGACTTCGTCTGGTAGTACTGTACTCAAAATGCCAAATTTAGCTGTCTGTGACGTTAGCTTATTGCTAGCCAAATAATGTTCCAGTCGAGCAAACCAAAGATGAGGGTCTCTGGGCTTAAAAACTGGTACAGAAAGAGAGATAGTACTAACAGATCCCAGCTCTAAATTATTAGAGGTATTGGAAGACATGGTACAATTCGTAAAAAAAATGGTTTAAGAGTAGGAAAATGGCGAAATTTGTGCACAATAAGAATATGGCAAAACAGAAAAAATGCAATGCAGGTGCTTACCACAAATTACTGCAGGTTGTGCTATGAGCAAACACAAAAATGAGTTCGAATTGTTTAATAAATATATAAATCCGCGAAAGTTAGAGTTTTAATAATCCAGTAAGTGTAACAACGCGTCGAGGTCAAAAGTCGTCGTCGGAGTCAGCAATTTGTCGTCGGGATCAGCAAGTTATCGTCGGGGCTCACCAATTTATTGCGTGTTCTATTTGACTAAATGAGCGTACACGTATTTCCTAGTACTTCTTCACGTTTATCAATGTGCGCAGACGTTGTGGCTACTCGACGCCCACAACGTAAAATCAGAAGGCACTTGTGAAGAGTATAATCGTGTATTATAGCCGTAGTCAAATTTCGAAAAAGTATCAAGGTAACGTTCAACAGTAAATTGGCAAATGTTTACGAAGTACATATAAAATCGATATGTGTAAACATATAATATGAGTATGCAAATTAAATTAAAAACGTATGTTTATAGTTGGTACAGGGGTACTACAGTATGCATTTCATTGCTTATATACCACTTTTGTGACATAGGAAATTTACTTTATTTTTGTTGACCTAGTATGTGCAATTCCCACAGGTCACTAAACTGAAAACTTAAAAAAGTAGATCACTTAATACATACATATATCTACATTTCCAAAATTAGACACATTATACGTTTAGCAATTTTTATTGAATTCTATTCCCATAGTAACAAACAATGCATACATCCTATTTTGGACTTAAAATAAATGCATCAAAATTATTGTTAACTTATATTCACTTACTAGACATTCCCATATATCTCAATGTACTTTAAATACTACAAATGCATCCAAATAGCGTGTGACTATCACACTACACTCACACCAAAAAAATTAACACGCCATTATATTATGGTAAGTTAAGACTGACTTTAAACTGACTGTAACTTTCCGTGTCAAAATAAAGAGACTGCCATTTTTACTTATATTTTAGACCAATAAGAAGCCAGCTAGCCAACAGCCAATCAAAATCTGCCTATATCGCTTTTCCTATAATACACGATTATACTCTTCACAAGTGCCTTCTGATTTTACGTTGTGGGCGTCGAGTAGCCACAACGTCTGCGCACATTGATAAACGTGAAGAAGTACTAGGAAATACGTGTACGCTAATTTAGTCAAATAGAACACGCAACAATGTAATCTGACTGCGACACACTCTTAGCATATTGGTTGCAATGATCAGTGTTTCAGGCGGACTGTGTCAAAATATCGGTATAATGAGGAGGATCGGATAGTTGGAGGGTAATGTCATCTACACAAGTAATCTATTATATGTAGAAGCTGCACTTTCCGGCATAGTATCATTCAATGAAGACTTCACGTCTCAGGACATCACTGCGGCCTATTTTCGTGTGAAGAACAGTACTATTTGACAAAAGGAATGCTATAAGTACATGAAAATCACCTATAAATGCTAACAGAGCCTTCTGTGGGAACAGAAGTCTAGGTTGCATTATATGGCGTTGTTATCCTCATCAACACAAAGGGTCTGTATATCTTTGAATATTTCAAGTGTTTCTCTATGCTGTCAACACTGTGCATAGCTGTTTAAAGTTGAGACATGTTCAGTTTATACTTGATTGCTATAGTTTCCTAAATATGGGAATGTAATTTCGGTGGGATTCACGAAACCATGTTCACTAGACATTGCTGAGATTGTGGATTAATTTCTAAGTTACACATTTGAAATACTTCTTTTAATGCAAGTGTATTTATTGTGAAGTTGGTCTACAAGTAATCTAGATGAGAGAATAATACCTTAACAGTATGGATTTTCCACAGATTGTCTTGAAATTCGCGTATAATCCTCTAATACTGGAAAACGCATGTGGTCTATTCATGCATACAGCGTCAATATAAAAACCAACTGTGAGCTACAAATACTTTTATTTGTATGAGAATTTTGTTTAGTATTAATAGACTCAGTGTATTCGTATCGCATATTAGTATATGAAATTATCTCTCATAACTTCATGTTCTGTTCTATTTTTTAGTTATATGAAGTTCGTCGAACATGAAATCAGCGGAAATGTCAATCGGTCAAACTGATGCTAATACTCCTCATCAAAATTTCCTTTTGTAAATTAATGAAATGTTTAATATACTCTTAATTTCTACTTCTTCTGGACTTCCTCAATAAGTCGCTATACTTTGTGCTTTTGTAATATGTGAATTCGGTCTACTGCGTGTTAAGCTTAGTTAGTGGAATGGAGATTTACTATGGTATTATGAGACTGTTACTTTAGTCATTCATAAGATTTCGCTTCTGTTTCTGTACAATATCACGTTGTAAAAACTAAGTAGGATCTAGCAAATTGAATAATAATTCTGCACTGTTCGACACTCCGAAGATGCCTTATTTAGCCAGTTGCAAGTCTGCATACTGTTAAACGCCAAGTATGCAGTTCAAGTAAGTGTAATAGCTTAGTGTTGATAGCTACTTCATTATTCTGTAAATATGCATTGACATCATCAAATAGACTGTTTACCTGGCGACGAGCTGAGAGACAATTTTTATTTATTAACAATACGCCGTTAAATCATGTGTTGTTATCTAATACTCAACTTCTTTATGATCAACAACTGCAGTATTTGCATATCTACCTTGTTGATATTAAATTAACCTTATGCATCTAATTACAGTCAGTATGACAACAGTATTCCCTACTCATTTGATGTGTGTACACTGAACAAGTCTTTCATAAATTCTTCCACAAGAGCCAAGCTTTCTAGTGTCACAAGTGTTAATGAAACCTGCTTCCCTGGTTTCAATACAATTGATGTTCTAAAGTGTCTCCAGTCACTGAATCCTTCTTGTAGCCTAGGACCGGATTCTTTGCCTAGCGTTTTTCTCAAAAAATATGCAGATACCTGTAATCCCTTCGTCGACATATTTAATGAGTCTTTTTCCAGAAATGTCGTGCCAGCAGTTTGGAAGGACATTAAAATTGTACCTATACCTAAGTCATCTACAGGAACATGTATTAAATTTAGACCTATTGCTATTACCTCTCCTTTTCTAAAAGCTATGGAAAAGTTACTCTTACTTAACCTTAGATCTTCACCTAAAGCCTTTAACGATACCGAACAATTTGCCTGCAAACACAGTAGAAGTACTTTAGATGCACCTGCAGTCTTGCATCATAACATTTTCTCCAGTTTAGACAAAGGGGCTAAGTTTGTTCGCTGCACCTTCCTAGATTACACATCTGCTTTCGACTCAGTAACTGGGAAAATTTTGTTAAGTAGGCTTGCTGAAACTCAAACTGAGTGTTGCGTTGCTAAATGGCTGCGTTCTTATTTCTCAGGAAGAAAGCAGTACACTGTA